AACTGTGAAATGGAGACGAGAAATGTTAATGAACTTGAATTCTTATTATGATTACTATAAGTACCACCCCCTAAAACAGTCAACCTGTTAATTTTGACTCTTGACAGTGCATACTTGTCTTATCGAATCAACAGATTCATTTTCACTAACTGAAAAAGTTAGTGAAAATGAAATGAAGTTACAGGGAACAGCAAAAAGTGTATGAATTTTGAATCGAACACCCAATATAAGACAACCTCGAGCTGAAATCTATTACTTTTTTTCCTTGTATGAAAAATAACTATTATAGAACCTACTTTGTGTTTTTATATATGAAAAATATCCTTAGTAGCGAACGGAGATAGTTCCGTATACACTGTTGTCGTTACAATTGACAGGGCTGTTTCTGAGGTAGCGTAGGGAGTAAGTAATAAAGCTTACACATGATACACATGAGTTGTTTCGGATTCACATTCGGTACCTGTAGATTGAGAACACTTTGGTGCGCACAAAAGAGAATCCCTATAATGTTCGAAGAACATCGTGCGTGCCTAGGGAGGATAAGAATAGGAGATAGGGGTCAGATTTTTTTTAACCTTTAGAGATTATAATTTCTTGGAAATACTTCCTTATATAGGCAATGAATTCCAGAGCTTTCCCGTTTTATAGTATGGGGAAACGAGTTTTGATATTGTGCTGTTCGACATATTATGATTTAATCATTAAGTTTATGAAAAACCATTTGTATTTTTTATTTTTCCAATGGCTAAGATTTCAGATTCTTTACAAAAAACAAAGAATTATTTCTGATTCCTTCACCATTATATGAATTATATGTATTCTGGATGGATTCAATACTGAAGGTCGAATCTTGAAAGGAATAGAATCAGAATCAAGAAGAAATTCTAATCTGATAGATTTCGAAGTGGATTATAATTTTTTTGCAACACATTGATGAATAAAATCTAACACCACAATAACTTTACACCCAGCTTCACACAAATCCTCCTGATACCAGTGTCATAGATTAAACCCTGTGTTTTCCTCTTTTCATTGAGGTTATGTTGTCATTATTATCTCTATATTTATTTATTCATAAACTGCTGTATTTGACATGTTTTCGGTGTATTTGTTCATTAATTTGTTGATCATGATCAATATAGATAATGGAAATTATATGATTGCTTATAAAATATGTTTTCCACCCAGAAGAAAATGCATTATTTTTCTGATTTTCCTTTCGTTTTCAATTACGAATAACTGAATTTATCATACCAATGTTCATACCAGATTAATCGATTACATCATAGTTTGCCGCATTGCCGCCTGCAAATTTCTCATAATAATTACTCTAGCTCGATGATATAGATAGAATCAATGTTCTGGTTCCCACGAAGAGGGATACCCTGTAATGTTCAGAGAACATCGTGAGAGCCAAGGGAAATTAGGTAGGAATTGGTGTTCTCCTAAAATTTCTGGAGGTTATATGCCTCGGGGAACACCTCCCTTGGCAATGTGTTCCAGAGCCTCGCTGTTCGTTGGATGAACGAGTATTTGGAAAGAGATATTCTGCAGGTCTCCAAAGTGACCACGAAGAGGTGCGAAGCCTCAACTCGACGGGTTAATCTCACGGGGATTGCCAAGGGAGGAACAATTGTTGATATTTCAGAAGAGCATCGTCCATGGAAATATCTATAAAATGGAGCCAGATCGACAACTTTTCTACGGTATTCCAGAGAAGTGAGTGAGTTTGTGAGCGAGGCATCACCCACGACAAGAATTGCCCTTTTTTGGACAGAATCCAACAGTTTCAGGGTATGTTTGGGTGCTACACTCCAAATATGGGAACAGTATCCCAGGACAGGTCGGATCTGTGTCTTATAGATCATAAGCAGCTGACTGGAAGTGAAATAGCTCCTGGCCCGAAACAGAAAACCAAGTTTTTGGGATGCACTTTTAGCAATTGATCTCACGTGATTTTCCCAAGGAAGGTTATTGCATCGAAATGGATGTCTTCAAAGGTATGTTTACTCCTGACAAGCTTATGTGGGGCACAGTGAGATCGGCTCTTCTAGAGAAAAGGCATGCTTGTGTTTTGTTTGCATTGAAATCTACCAAGTTACTGGGAATTAAAGATCTGATTGGTGTTAAAATAAATTGATGAGACGTCATCAGAAGAGGAAACGTTCCCGATTCTTCGTGGTGGCCACACTGGCAACACTGGCGCGGAAGGTGTTCGTACTCCGCAATCGAGGTCAGTCACACTAGATCGCGAGCGAGTAGTGACCTTATTCGCGGTTACAAACCTTCGTTGACCCCTTTAAGAACAGAACAGAACACCGCAAGGTGGTGCGCTCCGTCCTTCTCTAACCGGCAGAGTTCAATAACTCCATTTGTTCAGCGAAGAAACCGTGTGGATCGTGGATGAGCGTCTGTTTCTTTGCTGAAATTATATAGGTATATCGAGTCCCAACTGTTTTCGTTGACACTCTTTATTATCATTATTCATTATTATTTTTATTATGAATGTTGATTAGACGATACCTACTGGGAAACCAACAACTTAGTTGTTGAATACAACACCACTGTTTATTCTCAAGTAAAGCCAAACTCATCAGTACGCCTGACCTGATGGCGTATTTCTAAAAACGTACGCAATATAGTGCTGAAACCGAGACGTGTTTTCAAAGCTTGAATGTGTGTAATCCCGAATTTAGTTGGTCATCGCTACAGGACGTATCAGATACGCTTTTTATGAGGAATTTGTGGATGAAATGCGGATAAAACCGTCCTTATTTCGGCAAGGAACAAACGATATTTTTTCAGTCTTCATAATGAAAACTTTCGAGTAACCCGATAGCTCGTGGACTATGTATCTGACTACCACGGTGGTGGCTGGGGTTCAAACCCTGCAAGGCGTCAACTTTTTTTTTTTTTTCACTCTAGTAATTTTACGAGAAATGTCAGTTTTAGGAAGAAGGTTAGTTTAGTCAGAGTTAGGGCTAGTAGTATCCTTTTATTCCTTTTTCATACAGAAATCATATTTTCCTTCCTCATATCACCTTATTACGTCTTGGTGACCAATTGAGTATGCTTTTCGCAATACCCGAACTGATGTACGAATGTCTGGTACCACCATTCCCACTATATGAGTACACCATTCCGACTATGTGAGTCCACCAAACTCTTCCATGAAAAAATCAAGTCAAATCCATCGCGAAAGCTGATTCACAAAAATTCATATGGTTATTCAGAGCGAAAAACAGCTTCTCATAACCTATTGTATTGTATTGTATTGTATTGTATTGTATTGTATTGTATTGTATTGTATTGTATTGTATTGTATTGTATTGTATTGTATTGTATTGTATTGTATTGTATTGTATTGTATTGTATTGTATTGTATTGTATTGTATTGTATTGTATTGTATTGTATTGTATTGTATTGTATTGTATTGTATTGTATTGTATTGTATTGTATTGTATTGTATTGTATTGTATTTTATTGTATTGTATTGTATTGTATTGTATTGTATTGTATTGTATTGTATTGTATTGTATTGTATTGTATTGTATTGTTCGCATAAAATCTTATCGTTGGTTTCTATAGGGTGATACATCAGGTATAAGTATGCAGATATAGTGTTCATCATTCCAAATTTTTTGGGATTTTCTCTCCTCGTTTCTATAAAACAAAAACTTGAATACCACTTCAATATACGTGTAGTAAGGACAAATCAGATGATTTGCCCCAAAATGTCACTGCGTTTAAAGAATTTTCCAATCAGAGAGCCTAAAAGAAAAATTCACTAGCTTACGTATATTGAAGTGGTATTCATGTTTTTGTTTTATAGAAACGAGGAGAGAAAATCCCAAAAAATTTGGAATGATGAATGTACCACCTCCTCGATTAACCTACAGACAGTATTTAAGATATAGTGTTATCCTCCTCCTCCCCATAGATCCTGCATTCATCTTCCTCTTCTTAGAGGAGCTTCTTGAGATGTCTTTTCTCTCATGATGATCTACAACGTTCAGATACTGTTTCCACGTATGAGGATCAGCACCCAAACATTCGCGTGGTTGTTGATGCCACACTCACTAGTTCCTCGACATCATTGGTACTCCGTAGGAAAGTCGAGGACCTTTCACTTTTCTATAGATATTTCCACGGGACGTGTTCTTCAAAAATCATTCCATCACTAGCAATATGTACCAGTCAGACGTAATCGCCAAGCCCAGTCAGCACATCCTGTTATCGTCAACCTTGAGATAATGTCGAGTAACTCTTCATCGAAACTCCTTTGTCTATAGAACGGCAACACTCTTGAATTCCTTGCCAAAGGAAGTATTTCAAGAACCTAAAATCTTCACAAGATATAAAGAAATTTGGTAAATACCTACCTTCTTTGGCTAAGGTACGCACGATGTTCCATCACGAACATATAATAGTAATTTCCTTTAATGCGCTTCATGAGATGAATAAAAAAACAAATTCCAAAGTAAGTGTTCAGATGTGTATGTTGAAGGTAAAATTTTTAGAATTTCTGAATTCAAATGATTCAACTCAGAAATATTTTCAATGGTTTCTGAATTCTAATTTACCGTGTCTAGGTAATATTCAAATTACGAATCCTAAAATGTATAATTAACTATTTTGAAATACATTATTCATCTTTTCTATAACACATTGAATTCCTTGAAATGAAAATACAATGATATAATGATAATAATTGTCAATTGTAGTTACAACGAATAAGTATACTCTTATACGAATTATATGAAAAATGTTTTATATAGGTACAAGAGGATAATAATTATTGAAGTTGCAAGGTTTTGGATTTTGGAAGTTATTAGGTGTAGGGAACATGAAATAATGACTTGATCTCTTATATATTTCAGGAAGTTCGTATTGAAATGAAATTATTAACCATTATCAATTTTCGTCGAATGAATAACGATAATTTTGATGATTGATTTTAATTATAGTATCTATTTATAATAGTTTTCTTTTGTTACAGGTAATTCACTAAGATTATTACTTCACGAACAATGCATTGAGGAAATAGTAAGTGAGTACCTATATGTCAGAATGATTTAGACTTGGCGTTATAAATGTAATTGCTTTGTTTTTATTTAGTAGCGTTATTTCAGATCGCGTTTCACACTGTGAAACGTATACACAGCACACAGCACAATAATGAAATAATTTTCAATATCAGCAAAACTACAGTACACCAAAAATGTACCAATAACACGAATATGGAAATTGTTTTCATATTTCGAAAAACGTTCAATAATATACAGGTTGTTCCTGAATTTCTTGTTATTGTATTTGAGTAGGCAAAAAGTTCCCATATACGTCTGGAATCGCTTCGTTTTTGAGATAAAGGGTCAAAGTTGAAAATATGCACAGATTCATTTTTGTCCACCATGTTACAGGATCTGACGAATTATCTTTACGCATGTTAAGATATACTGATGATAAACTGCTCGACCACATAACATACATAATCAATTTGGCCATTACTTCAAACAAATTTCCTGTGGCGTGGAAAAGTGCAAATGTAATCCCCATCCCTAAGTGTAGCATCCCCACGGACCTGGCACATCTCAGACCAATCAGTCTTCTTCCAATTTTATCTAAGGTATTTGAAAAGATTCATTCACATCAACTTAGCAGGAACACCCTTACCTATGGTTAAAGAAACTAAAAATCTTGGCTTATGGGTTGACGAAGACTTGAGATTTACTAAACATGTAAGTTATCTTTGTCAGAGCTCCTATAATGTACTGAGACAATTGTATCCTAATCGTGACATATTATCAACTAAAATAAAACTTGAATTGTGCGAATCTCTAGTATTATCCAAATTGTCATATTGTGATAGCATTTACGGTCCAGCAATCTTCCAGACTGACGCTTTACGACTTCAGAAAATTCAGAATTCCTGCATTCGATTTTCTTACGGTATTCGGAAATTACACTTACTCATAAGGTCCTACAGACAGGTGAACCATCATATCTGCGTGAAAGGCTAGTCCCTTTCTCGAATATAAATCAACTGAACACCAGGAAAAACCATTTACTAGTTATTCCGAGACACTCCACAGCATTATTTACACGTAGTTTTGCCTACAACGCATCCAAACACTATAATTCGCTCCCCACAGAATACAGGAATTTCTCTTTATACAACTTTAAAAAAAGATTGAAACAAACATTAAGATACGCTCAGGACTGAATGATTGCTGCTGAACCAAGCTTTTCTATTTGTCAATATTTGAAAATGTGAAATTGAATATAATATTATTATTATTATCGTCGTTGATGTTATTATCAATAGTATTATTCTCATTATCAATAATATTATTATCATTAGGAAAATTATTATCATTATTATTATTATTATTTTATCATCTTGATTGTTATCTCTAAAAATATTATTATTCTCCTCATGCTCACTATAGTTTACTAGCTCCATATCTATTTCTTCTGTTTTTCGCTCACAGAGGTTAAGATGAAAAACAGCTCTAGCTGATCTTCGCCTATTCACCATAAATATATAACTCTCTTTCCATTGTATTATATTCTATATTATTTTGTTATATTGGTGAATAAAGTCGATTATTATTATTATGTTAAGCTTTTCGTGATGGCAAAATGTTATGTGACTGAAATAGTGCAGACATTTTAGAATGTTATATATTATGGTTCTAGATTAGTCCAAACGGATGTCCTGAATGGATTACTCAGTCTTTAGTACCTGTTTACTTTTCCCAAGTACTTGATTTCTCGAAATTTATTGGCTGAAGAAACATATTCTATTCCATCAAATTCTTGAGAGTCAATAAGGGGTTCCCGGGTTCATTTCCCCAAGAATAAGAATCTTAATCAAGATTATATAGTGGCGCTTGATTCAAAATTCCTGGAGTTTAATTGAGATCCAAGATTCTTCCTTTGAAAATTGTTGCTCTTCCTCTTATGTATGTCACTCTCACATGACTCATATGCTTAAATAAAGTTTTAATGTTCCTGGATATATACCTCAAATCTTAAAAACAAAAATTAATACTAAGACTATGCTTAGAACTAAGACTAGGACTATGGAAATGTTGTATAAATCCGCCATTATTTCACATTCTCATTATTGACTGAAGTTTGATTGCGAATATCATTTTTCGTTGTAGTAGTTATTGACTGAACTAACCAAATAAAGTTTCATTCCAATATTTTTTCATCAATTGTCGAATCTAGTACGATATATTACAATTGCGTACTAGATTTTATTACGAATGATCGCTACTAAAAACCCAACGCTGATGTAGGGTAAATGCAATATTAGTAAATGCGAAGACAACGCGACCCCCCGATCCTCGCGCCCTGTAGTTTGTAGATCCGCTGCTGTCTGCTCGTGGTAAGAGCGAGAGCGCTATCGAGAGTGTGCGACCTTGATCCGGCCAGCATGCCTGCTACGATTTCGAATTTTCGAGATTTTTGTGTCGCAATTCGTATCGACGATTACGAAATGATCGATTCGAATCTCTATGGCTCACCTGGTTCCGGAGAGGATTTATTGTTAACTATGTACTAGTGGTACTAGGTATGTATGAGATTTGTATAGAAAGAATGTTGTGGTTGCACGAACACGGTCAGCTAGGTAGGGTACGTACCTATACACCGTGTGTCCGTAGTCCGTGTGTCCGTAGTCCGTGTGTTATGATTTAATGGGTTAATCCTTCCCAACTAGAAAAGTAGAACTGAATAATCGTTTAATTTATTCAACGCCTATTGAAGAACTGTTTTGTTTTTTCAATCTTCTCCGCGTATATTATGAGTATACCATATTTATATACAGGGTGGACCACCAGTAACGCCTCGGTCTCTGGAAGGCTAACCACTTATCTTCTTGGAATTCTTCCTCTCTAGGAAGTTGCATGTCAACATAGGCTACCATTTGAAATTATTTCAAAACATACAGGGTGTCCCCAAAAACCGCAAAATACTAAAGTTGAACTTTTTTCAATCGAACACCCTATATATTATTTCATTTTGAGATTCTCCCTGGTGAGCTGATTTCAACGACCCATCATACTTGGGGTCTAGCAGTTATAATTACTGAAATAGAGGGTGTGAAAAATCGAGATTTTCCAAGTTCAAGAATTTTTTGTGTCGAAACTATTCATAATTGGTCAAAACGGCTTACATGTCCCTATCTCAACTTTTGATTAACTATCTACTGATATTTAATTGGGACATATACCGGGTGATCAAGATTCTGAATTCTGCACCACCCTGTATTTGTTTGAATTAAATGTCAGTAGATAGTTGATCAAAAGTTGAGATAGGGACATGTAAGCCGTTTTGACCAATTATGAATAGTTTCGACACAAAAAATTCTTGAACTTGGAAAATCTCGATTTTTCACACCCTCTATTTCAGTAATTATAACTGCTAGACCCCAAGTATGATGGGTCGTTGAAATCAGCTCATCAGGGAGAATCTCAAAATGAAATAATATATAGGGTGTTCGATTGAAAAAAGTTCAACTTTAGTATTTTGCGGTTTTTGGGGACACCCTGTATGTTTTGAAATAATTTCAAATGGTAGCCTATGTTGACATGCAACTTCCTAGAGAGGAAGAATTCCAAGAAGATAAGTGGTTAGCCTTCTAGAGACCGAGGCGTTACTGGTGGCCCACCCTGTATAGACTGCATGTTAAGAGAGAGAATTCTCTATTCCACTCTAGTGGAAACACTGGCGGCCAAGGTCACCAGGGGATGTCCGCAAGGGGGTGCATTGTCCCCAATGCTCTGGAACCTGGTGGTGGAAAACCTGCTATAGTCACACTAGATATAGGAATGGACACAATTCACAGCCCAAGGAATATTCAACAACACGGTCAGGGAGAGGATGCAAATGACCCTAAACCTGGTCAACACATGGATAGATGAAGAGGGCCTAAATATAGGTGCCTCCAAATCAACCATAGTAACCTTCACCCGACGAAGGAAGCTAGAGAGACCAGGTCCTTTAACACTTCAAGGGACCGACATCCAGTTGTCAGGGGAAGTTAAATACCTCGGGGTAATTCTAGACTCGAAACTTACCTGGAACCAACAACTGGCAAAAGTGAAGAAGCCGAGGCAACACTAATGATTGCCAGACGGGCACACGGAAAAACATGGGGTTTAAGCCCCAAAATGATGTATTGGACATACAACATTGTGGTGAAAGCCATGATCACATGCGCATCTTTGGTATGATGGACAAAGATAAACCAAAAAATAGCCGCGGCTGAGTTGAGCAAGGTACAAAGACTTGCATGCCTCAGTATAACGGGAGCACCAACAGCCGCCATGGAAGCACTACTGAACCTTCCTCCGATAGACATAGTTATCATGGGAGAGGCTAGAATGGGACATCTAAGGCTACAAAACACGAGCGATAGATCGGGACACAACAAGATAAAGGAAATAGTGGGAGGGAACATTCTTGAAATTGAATTTGACCACATTACCCCATCAATATACTGCCTCAACATGAGCTTCGAGATGATCATGCAAGAGCGAAGGGAATGGACAGATGACTACATCAAGGGCAAACCTGGAGAGAAGATCTGCTACACAGAATTTACAGTGAAGGGAGAAACTCCCAAAGGAGCTTCTCACTGGGAATGAACACTTCCGTATTTTGAGCGGAAATGTATGCAATCTTGCAATGTGTAAGAACAAACACCGATAGCCAGGCGTCACTGAAAGCTTCACGAACCCGAAAGTGACATTCTCAGAACTCAATGCCCTGTCAGAACATAACAAAATTACCCTGTTATGGGTTCCAGGATATTGTGGCATGGACTGAAGCCCCTCACATGCACCACGGGAAAGCATTCATTAAAGAACCGTCAAAAAATAAATCTGAAGAACTACTTCAGATGAGTAGGAACCAAGTCAGAACAATAACGAGACTTCTCACTGGTCCAGCGAGCGGACACCTGATCACCTGAATAAAATGGGACTGTACAATGGAGAACATCTCTGCAGACAATGCGGTAAAGGGACAAAAACGGCCAAACACTTATTGAAAGAATCGAGGAAAGAATGTATAAGGACTTCGATGAAATAAGAACGGCTATCATCAGACTTGTCAGTATAGATACTGTCTATAGATGCAGAAAATCTCGAAAAACTGAAATCGTTTTCACAGCTGTAAATGATTCAATAAGTGAATAAGTGAATTGTTTCTTGGCTTAGCTCCTAGGAGTTATGAAGGCGTCTGGCGTAGGAGAGCCAACAACCTTATTTTTATGGAATTGCCACTTCGAAGTGGCATATGTCACTTTGAACTGACAATTGTCGCTTTGAACTGACAATTGTCACTTTGAACTGGCAATTACCCCAATTTTATTTTGTTGTGATTGCCACTTTGAGTGATTGTCAGTTCAAAGTGACAATTGTCAGTTCAAAGTGGCAATTGTCAGTTCAATGTGACAATTGTCAATTCAAAGTGACAATCGCCACTTCGCCACTTCCAAGTGACAATTGCCAAGTCAAAGTGACAATTGTCATTTCAAAGTAACAATTGTCAGTTTAAAAAGACAAGAAGTGCCACTTCAAAGTGACAATAGTTAGTTCAATTTATCTCTCTAGGTAATTTCCGAAATCACCTTGTATCTCGGTAACGAAATTGATCTTTCATTATCTACATCTGTTCCCTGTTCACTGTATACACTGTAAATGTGAAGTTCTTCAGAGGTCATGAGTGCGTTGATACCTTCCAACCGAGCACATGTTCCCTGCAGAAGTCTTTCAGAGAAGAGAAATTAATGAAATTATAGGTAATAGAATAGGTAGGTACCTATGCACTAGTGCAGTTTGTTCACACGCATCACACCTTGTGCACTGTGCAGTGTGCACGCTTTATTACAACCGGGTGCAACCATTCGAGCAACGTGCAATCTCGTGGCTGGAAGGCGAAGATCGCGGATAACGCGGCCAATCAGATCGAGTTGCGTAATGAGCGCGTGGCACTCATACCTCATACGGGCGGCCAGGGTTGCCACATGCGGTAAAATCGTAACTAGGCCTGGGAAAATTTGAAACACAATGTCGATATATCGATATATCGAATAAAGATATATAAGTTCAAAAATATCGATATATATACAGGGTGTCTGGAAATTATGCACAAAAAATCAAGGGGTTGATTAAATGATATATCAATATATCGAATAACGATATATAATTTCGAAAATATCGATATACATTGTATAGAATAACGATATATAATTTCAAAAATATCGATATATAATTTCAAAAATATCGATATATAATTTCAAAAATATCGATATCTACCGGGTGTCCCAGTATACCTGTTCCAATAGATTATCTCAGCCATTTCCAAAGATGAAAATGTGGAAATTACATGATCTACTACAATTCTAATAATTTGAAATTATTTTTGTAGTCAAAATCAAGATTACAAAAATATCGTAACCTACTGCAATTCGTTCAATTTGAAATTTCAATTGTCGTTTTCTCCATCAAATCAAATCCAAAATACGAAGTGTGATACATCGTTGGAACGGTAATTTTGAGTAGAAATAAAAAATTGCAAAAAATATACAGGGTGCTATTTCAAATAAAAAAGTGAGAGTCACTTCCAGTCAAACCTGAAGTGACTTTCAATTTTTGTTTTCTTCAAGTGAACGAATTGGAGATCTTGAATTTCTCGAATTTTTATTTCTCGAAATAGCTGAGATAATTCATTGGAACAGGTATACTGGGACACCCGGTATACAGGGTGTCCGTAAATTATGTGCAAAAAAATCAAGGGGTTGATTCTACATGAGAAAACATGAAATTCATCACATATATACGTGGGTCCGGATAATCATAGTTTTCAAATTACAGTGTATTGAACTTTTAAAAAAATTGGTTTTTATGAATATCTCAAATATCCTTCCACCGATTCTCTTGAAATTTGGCAATGATATTCTTTGCCATGATTTAGCCATAATTGAATTGGAATTTTGAATTCTATATCTTCATATCCTATTGACCAACTAACAATACGCGAGTACACAGCGGATGTCGTATATAAACATAATTATACTTATATGATTATGCCGATCTTGTGGTACGCTGCTTCCGTGACGCGAGTTTGCTGGTTTACTCCTATCCCAGAATGTACCAATGGAAAAACCTTCATCTCCAGCTCGCCCTTAGCCGAAAGCTGCGCGATAATTAGAAATTCGAAATATTTCATTCGATTAAAATCATTCTTCATAACCGCGTACTATGCATGTCAAAATGGCAACACTGTTTGTGTCATTCTGTGGCACTTGGTACGCTGATGTCGCAATGCCATAATCGTGGACGCTGGACCATTGAATGTTGCCAGTGCCAGTGCCCTCTTGATTCGTACCTTCGCGGGCTTGTGGGTCACTCACCTCACCTCGCCCGAAGCCACTTCCAAATTGCCCAGCGGTGTTGCCGGTTGCGGAGAAATTTCCCCGGCATGGGTTATTATTTTTTTTTATGTTTTGTGATAATCGAAAACAAGAACCAATAATAGTGATGCGAACAACTTTGTTCTTGCACTTAGCATCCCAGAAATTTCGAAAAACCTCAATGATCGTTGAATCAATGGAAATGATAAACTCACTCGATTGACAATTCTCACAAATATGAACTTGTGATTTTTTTTCGGATATTATTACTCAGATGAGTAATCATATCCTACCCGTATCTTCAATATGTTGTCATAACTTCTGAACATTGAACCGAGCATTGAACTATCTCCAAGAAATTTCAAAACGAGACTTCGATCTGGCAACAGCGCTCGTTGCTCTCATTCTCATTTAGTGGCAATGTTGACGCTAGCTGGCTGTTTTGTTGTTCGCTCTTTCCCTCTTCCTTTCGTTAATAATAAATATAGACAAAATACGGTGTCCGTACCATATACATAAATTATTATTTATATTTACTTTTTTGTGGAGATCCAGACAGGAGGCTTTGGTCGTTGTTTCCCTCAATTCCTAAGATATCTAAGATCTACTCTCCTACCAGTCCTACCATAATTTTAAATTGTGGGAAATTGCGTAAAAGCTGTTGCTCTTGTTGAAGATGGACGTAATTATGAATTATGTTGCGAGATTACTTCTTGTTCATCGCTCTACCATCCAAAGAGTAGTCGAACGGTTTAAGCATATTGGCAAAATTGAGTACGTATTTGGAATTTGGAATATTCCTTTTTTTCTCCGGTTGCTTTATTTGGGTAGTCCTTATCAGAAGGAATGGTGAAATAGGTATTCCTCAAGATGTTGTTAGATTTTTATTGATAGGATGAACTGATGTTTGCAGCAATTTAAGATGATGATCCGGTTTCTATGCAAAATCGGTATCTCAGGATTTTTGGGGTCAGAGATCAGAGATTATGACTCTTTCATCAAAATTGGTATCTGGGGATTTCTGGGGTCGGTTATTATGATTCTTTTGTCAAAATTGGAAAATTTAAGATGACAGATCCAATATCGCAGACGTCTTTTGTAATTATGATTCAATTCTGTTCAAAATTGGTATCTAGGGGTTTTTGGGTTCAATTGGTATCTAAGGATTTCCAGGGTCGGAGAATATGATTCTTTCATCAAAATTGGAAAATTCAAGATGGCGGATCCAATATGGCGAATGAATTTTGTGACTATGATTCGATTCTATTCGAAATTGGTATCTGTGCGATATTGAGGTCGAAGATTATGATTCTTTCCTTAAAGTTTGAAAATTCAAGATGGCGGAGCAGATGTATCATTATCGAGTAAAAGCGATTCAAAAATATTGTAACATCTAAGATATTATGCATAGCATTACAATGAGTCGTAGTGGAAATGAAAAAAAATGCACAAAAATCGAAATAGTTTTTTTATCATCACTTTCCTATTTTTCGCGCTTTTATGCGATTGTTTGGTGAAAAGAAAGTAGTTGATTTTTTTATAGCCACTATGATTTGAAAATTGGCATCGTTCTGCATAAGATGTGAGTGTATCAATATTTTTTAATCGATTTCACTCGAAAATGATACATCTGATCGATGCGGAACCAGAGTACTTCTTTTTGTAAAACGGTGTGGATTTTTATAAACCGAGATTAAATTGTCAAAAAATATGCATACGAAAAAGTTTGAGCAATATTTAATGTAGTCCCACCCTGTATTATGCACTCATGAATGAAACATTGAAATGATTTTATGTTCACGGCAGTGGGCATGGAAAGTTTAGTTCTTGTAGCAAATTGCATTATTTCATCACTTGGCGTTTCGGAAATATTCAGGAAATATCATCTTCAGGAGCCCCTTTTCAGAGGGCCGTAGTTCCCTAAGGAGACATTTCTTGACTCATGTTCATAGATAGATAGATAGATCTTTATTTAATTAGGAACCCTAATATACATAATTAAATAAGAAGGCATATTACAATATACAGGGTGTCCGGAAATTATGCGCAAACAATCAAGGGGGTGATTCTACATAATGAAATAAGAAATTCATTTCATATGAACCTAGGTCCGGAAATGCATAGTTTTCAACATACAGTGTGTTGAAACTTTTAAAAAAGATCGTTTTTTTATGAATATCTCAAATGTCTTTCCACCGATTTTCTTGAAATATGGCCATAATAGTTTTTGTCATGAGGGGCTGATATACCCATAATTCAATTGGAATCTTGGAATCCAGTGGCGTCCCGATGGGCAACCTACCGAATATTATTGTCAATAAAATGTGCGCCACTGATTTTTTTGAATTCTGTATCTTCATAACCTATTGAACAGCTAAAAATACAACATTTTGATCTCTTGACTTGTTGTGCTATTTTGCTGCTTCTTGGCAAAAAAAAATAAATTCCAATGCATTGTATAAATTTGCGCAAAATATTGCTTCAAAAACAGGGGTGAAATTAAATGTGAGATCCATGTCCATAGACGTAGAATAAGAATGAAGAATAATTATCTTCAAATATTTCATAATACATGTTTGACACACTCTACACTCAGTATATTGAGAACTATGTATTCTCGGTCCAGGAAGGCGTAGTTTTCGATAATACAAAATTTGTCAAACATGTATCATAAAATATTTGAAGAAAATAAATCTTCATTCTTATTTTACGTCTATGGACATGGATCACACATTTAATTTCACCCATGTTTTTGAAGCAATGTTTTGCAAAAATTTATACAATGAATTGGTATTTATTTTTTTCCACGGAAACGCGGCAAAATAGCAAAACAATTCAAGAGATCAAAATGTTGTATTTTTAGTTAATCATCAGGATATGGAGATGAAGAATTCGAAAAAATCAGTGGCGCACATTTTATTGACAATAATATTTGGTAGGATGCCCCAGGGACGCCACTGGATTTCACAATTCCAATTTAAATCATGGTTGAATCAGCCCCTCATGACGAAGAATATCGTTGCCAAATTTCAAGATAATCGGTGGAAAGATATTTGAGATATTCATAAAAAACCGATTTTTTCAAAAAAGTTTAACACACTGTATCTTGAAAACTATGCATTTCCGGACCCAAGTAGATAGGAAATAAATTTTATGTTTTCACATGCAGAATCACCCCCTTGATTTTTTGCGCATAATTTCCGGACACCCTGTATATTCACATATACAGAAATGAAAACTGAGTTGAACAATTGCAGAACAGAAATATTAAAATGACTATCATGAAATACCTACGATGAAAGTAGAATAATAAGATTAAAAACAGTATACAGGGTGTAAATTTGAAAACTTTCAATGCGAATATCTCGCGAAATAAAAAAGTTAGAAAAACGCCGCTTGGCAAAAATGCTAAAGAGTTAAGGGGAACTAGAACTACCATATTTCAGTGAAGGGATGAGTCACCCTGTCAGCGCAACACACCCCAACTTTGAAATGTCAAATGGCACTACCTCTTTTGTGATACCTCAAATGAACGGTCTCAGTCAGTAGTATTCACCTGTACAAAACTTTTTTTCCACCCACTACAGGGTGTACGAAAAACATTAATTCGAGGGCCTAAA